TAGTACCAGATCCAAGACTGACACACTAGATACCTTTTCCCAGTTTGAAAGTGAACCTTTGGTAACTACTCTTTGAGTAATGTCTTTCAACAAGCTAACCACTCACTTTCTAGTAATTTCATCTAGATGGCATTTCCCTAGTTTTCTTGTGGGAATGTCATCTCAGACTATATCAAAAGCCTTACTAAAATCAAGATATATCATGTCTCTTTCTTCCCCACCCCCATCTACTGGTCAGTAACCCTGTCATAGAAGGAAATTAGGTTGTTTTGGAATTATTTATTTTTTGACAAATCTATGCTGGCTATTCCTTACACCCCTATTATCCTCTGGGTCAGTGGTTTTCAAACTGAGGCACACGAGCTCTCGTCAGGGGGGTACATGAGAAAAATCCTGTAATGGAGGACAATGCATTTATTTAATAAGATTTAAAATGTAATCATAGATATATTATGACCCTATCTCAGATTGGGTATTATTATTAAGAAAGAGGTTCACAGCCTAAAAAGTTTGAAAACCCCCGCTCGAGGCGCTTACAAACTAATTGTTTAATACTTTGTTGCAGTATCTTTTCAGGTATCAAAATTAGGCAGACCCATCTATAACTTCCTTAGTCCTCTTTGTTCCCTTTGTTTGTCCTTCTCCAGTCCTCTGGGCCCTCACCCATCCTCCATGAGTTCTCAAAGATAATCACTAATTGTTCTGATATTGCTTCAGCAAGTCTCTTAAGTATTCTAGGATGAATTTAATCAGGCCTTGTCGACTTGAATACATCTACCTTATCTAAATATTCTTTAACCTGTTCTTTCCCTATTCTGGCATGTGTTCCTTCCCTCTTGTTGTTAATATTAATTGTGTCAAGTATCTGGTCACAATTAATCTTTTTGTCCATGTTTCCACTTTTTCCTAGGATTCCTTTTTAATTTTCAAGTTATTACTGAGCCATATTGCTTCTTACTGTTCTTTCCGTCTGTCCTTCACCTTGGGATAATTTGCTGTTGTGCCTTTAATATTCCCACATCCCACATCCCACACACATACACACTGTCTCTGTGTCTCTCTCTCACACACACAGTCTCTATGTGTCTCACTCTCACACACACTGTCTCTGTCTTACACACACTGTGTCTCACACACACATACAGTCTCTCTCATACATACACACACACTGTCTGTGTCTCACAAATATACGCACAGACTGTCTGTGTCTCACATATACACAAACACTGTCTCTCACACACTGTTTCTGTATCTCACACACATGCACACTGTCTGTCTCTCTCATGCACACATACAGTTTCTCTCTGTGTGTGTATGTGTGTGTAAGAGAGAGAGAGACACACACACACAGTCTCTGTCACACACACAGTCTCTCTAGGGTGACTGGATGTCCTGATTTTATAGGGACAGTCCCGATTTTGGGGACTTTTTCTTATATAGGCACCTATTACCCCTCATCCCTGTCCTGATTTTTTACACTTCCTATCTGGTCACCCTAAGTCTCACACATACACACACAGTCTCACTCTCTCACGCACACAAACACACTGTCTCTGTCTCACACACTCTGTCTCTGTCTCACATACGCAATGTCTCCGTCTGCCTCTCATTCACACACAGTCTCTGTGTCTCTCTCATGCACACACATACACACACTCTCTCTGTCACACACACATACACACCCATACATAGTCTGTGTCTCTTCTCACACACACTGTCTCACACACATACACACTATCTGTGTGTGTCTGTCTGTCTGTCATACACAAACCAACAAAATTGTCTGTTTCCTGGTAGTTTTGAATGTACTGGCATTGAAAGTCTGCATGCACTGCCGTGTTTGTTGTTAGGTTCTTATTTCTCTCACTTTTGAGTGCTGAGTGTATATATGCATAGTTAAAGAGTGGATTGGGTGTGTTTGATCAAAAGCAGTTTTAGCCATTGAGGAGATGTGAAGCACTTTAGTTGGATCTAATTGTTAGAGGGCTTTTAAAGTCCAACAAGCTCACAAAAACATTTAGACCAACATTTTCAAGAGCAGCCAGTAAACTCTGAGTTCCTCAATTTAAATTAAAGGACTGCACCATTTATCCTAATAATCTTGGAATTTTTTATGAACTAAAGAACTTTACAAGTTGTCATTGTTTATGTATTTATTTATTATATTCTAGCACATAGAAGCTGCAACCAAGATCAGAGCCTCATTGTATTAGACAGTGTACAAACAGGGGCCCTTATCTTACAAAGACTTAATACATGCACCTATCTTACAGTGTGTAAAGTGAAGCATATAAGCAAAGATTTGCAGGATCAGGGCCATAGAATAAGAGACAGTCCCTCCCCCCAAAGAACTCACAATCTAAATAGACAGGGCATACATGGAGTGGGACAAAGAATATAATATGCAAGCAAAGTGAATGGAGGTATAGTTTACAAATGTCATGTTAGTTCCGCAATTATTTCTTTTTATTAATTTTTGGATTTTTTTTCCTATCTATATTCAATGAAGGCAGGAAGAGGTTTACTAAAAGGAAAAATAAGGGAAGGGAGAGGAGAGGGGGACATGGAGGATAGCTTGAGTGAGACGGTAGTGAAGAGTCATCCCAGGCTCCGCAGATCTTGGTTCTAGTCCTGGGGTTCTTACACTGGTCCCAGTATGTCCATTGCAGGGGACCCACATAGGAGGGGGAGTTGCAGGCAGGGTTGGTTCCATCACCCTTGATGACAAGTGTGATCTTCCCTGTGACTGAACAGATATGTTGGAGAACTCTGAACAGAAATATAAGACACCAACTGGAAGTCTCCTTCATCCTCCTCAATATCATCCAATCGAGGAGCACCCACAGAAAAGGATGGAGAGTCCTGTTCTACCTGATGATGGGGACCCATGGTACTGACAGACACATGGTACCCACAAGAACTGAGGATTCCAGTTTTGTCCATTACAGACAGGTCCATAGATTATTAGAACTATTGGACCAGAGTGGAGCACCCATAGGGCAGTACTCAAAGAAGAACACACATGTCCATTTTCAGTCTCTTTTTACAAGTAAAGGAATGAAGGAGAGCAGCTTGAAAAAAATCATATGAAAAAAATTACTTTTCAGAGAAAAATTGAAGCAAAACATTTTTGTCTGAAAACTTGTAGTTTGAAACCAAAAAGTTAAATTTGGAAATGCCATCATGGTGTCTCTTGGAGTCTTAATTTTGGGCCAGGCTACATGGCTGGTCTACAGCTCCCAAGATTCATCACAATTTCCCTAGAATTAAGTTTCTAAACTCAAAATATGCTGTGTTCTAAGTGTACTAGAAATAAAATATGGACAATCTACAAAATAGTTGCCATGGGCAATATATATCACATATAGTTTGATGCCAAATTGTTTACAAATGATGGGTTGATTTTGAGTGTTTGAACTTGGGCAACCAAATTTGGGATACCCCAAATCAGTGGCTGCTTTGACAAATTGGGCCTGAATGATTTGTGGGTTCTCAAATTGACTTACTGTGTGATCTTGGACAAGTCATGTCATGTCCCTGTGACCATCTGTAAAACATGGGTGGTAATACTTCCCAATCCATAGATGCTGGAACTTAGGGTGCTGTTAGAGGTGCTGGCTATAAAAAGTGGTTTCCATTATATACAGGGTTTACAGTTTGGTTCAATAGCTCTCAGCACCCTCACTATAAAAATTGTTCCAGCACCTCTGTTGCAAGCTGGAGGTTTCAATCAGTAATGTTTGTAAAGCCCTTGGAATTCCTTTGATGGGAAGACAAAGTACAGTATGCTACATTATAGAGTGGTCAGATTTACTTTTGTTTTCTGTAACTTTCATTTCCTGTTTTCACTTCATGTGTTAAAGTTTCATCTTTCAATGATTCTTGTTAATCTTTCTGTCCACTTGGCATCCTATGGGGGAGGGAGGGCACACATGACAGATATTAATCATGTCGCTAATGCGCTGCTGGAAAGCGCTCTGGGACCATGGTGATGTGGGCAGGACAAGAATCTCTAGTGAACAGAATAGAAAGCCCTTAATTCAGGGGACTGTGAATGTAGGGTTGGTTGTTCTTCAGAGAACACTGAGAGATGTCTTCTATCTCAATAAAAATAATTTCTTAAATATAACATATGTTTTCAGCACAACCTGATGCAATTTTACACACTAATTAATTATGCAAAAAAGATTTTATCCTTGGTAACCTTTCTGGAATTTTTTTTGTACTAGAGACAAGCAATTTTTGACACTCCTCACAAACTGTCACTTATACAGAAACTGTATAAAACAGCCATTCATAGCACGCCTTTCAGAAGAACAGGAGCCAGTGTTTGCTTCATTTAATACAATACACAGTTGCCATGGAAACACAGAAGGAACCGAAGGAGTTTCCCAGAATGTACCAGACTTGTCACAACATATCAGCCTTTTATTTTCTGTTCTAAGTTAGCGTTAGGGGCTAAATTCATTAACTAATAGATGTTGGATGTTTATGAAATACCTTTCAACCTACAAAATGTTCTTGCACATGCTATTTTTCCAGTATAGAAAGCTGGAAGTTAATTGCCAGGAAAAAAAAAAGTCTAATAGTTTGAAATCAGATAAATAAGGAAGAAGAACGTTATTTGTTTGTAGGAATTTGAAAAACACCCTCTCCTTGTGCTATCCTGAAAGAACACAGCCTTTCTTGCCTTTTCTTATTTTGGCTAATGTCTCATTCAGGTCCGCTCTGAACATATAAGCCTGCAAATGAAACCCAGTGCATATGATTGTCGTGAAATGTAACATTTCTTCAAAGAGAGCCTCAGTCCCACATCTGCTGGGATTTGGGATTTCTAGGTCAGAACCAAGCTCAGTAGAGTCAAAATGATAGAGGGTCTAATATCCTGTTGAATTTCACAAGTCCTTCTACACCCAAATGGCCCTATCACTGACAGACCCTAAAAAGATACCGTAAAACGGCATTCTGATATAATATGTATGGCGAACCCAGGAACTTACTGTTTGTCAGCATCTGCAGATCTTCCACAGAGGGAGGCGACCCTTTCTTCTCATACGGAATAACCGTGTTCAAATACTAGAAAGGAATGACAGGTACCATTATTCTCTCGCCATTGCAGGGCAAGCTAATGTGATGGAAGCATGAAACCAAATTGCTTACAGAATCGTGTGAGATATGAAAGAAACGAAATCAAACAAAAAACTCTACTAAGTAAAGAGGCTAGTGCTCTAGAAAATAATCTTCAATTCAATAATATTATATATTGGTATGACAAACTATGCAATTGGTAATGTTTGTAAAGCCCTTGGAATTCCTTTGATGGGAAGACGAAGTACGGTATACTGCATTATAGAGTGGTCAGATTCACTTTTGTTTTCAGTAACTTTCATTTCCTGTTTTCATTTCATGTGTTAAAGTTTCATCTTTCAGTGATTCTTGTTAATCTTTCTGTCCACTTGGCATCCTATGGGGGAGGGAGGGCACACATGACAGACTTCCTATGCCCCAGTCCATTACAACCAGCAGCAATTCATCAGACCACTGGTACAATCAGATTCTGCAGTTTTCCGGCTCAATTTTTAATGGAAAGTCTTTATTTACTTTTGAACATCTAAAGAAACATTTTTCTTGGGGCTTTTCTACACAGGGACATCCAGGAAAATTAATCCAAATTAACTAAAGGTGTGAATTTGAAGTGGATTAGTTAAACATCCTTAAATCCCATGTAGATACTATTATTCAGAATTAAAGTGGCTTCAGTTTGGATTAAGTTTCCTGGATGTCCCCATGTAGACAAACTGTTACTCGCATTTATGTTTTGGTGTTGCAGGAGATGGTGTCTCTTAATTGATTGCACATTTCTTCCTGTTTCAGTTTTGTTACTGTAATTTTTTACTGTTATTTTCCACCTCAGGTTTATGGTCACTGATTCGGTAGTTGTTCTGTTTTTATTTTGCACTCATACTGGTGGCTTAGGTTTGAGAGCATCATTGAATCTGGGGTAGGGTTAGTTTGTTCTATAGGTCAGACAGAGTTGTGGGCACATGGAAGTGATCTTACATACAAATGGATTATTTATTTCTTTGAATTCAGTTTTTAATCCTCTAGTGTGGGGCCTGTCAAATTTTTTCATGGTGTGAGCTATTTCTTGACAGAAATTGAAAACTCCTCTCACATTCACGAATGCAGAGACCCACCCCATTATGTAACATCTCTGTGAAGGCTACAGTAACTATTTATATGGAAAAGTCATATGAAGAAGGTATGTAGTGCATGTTTAGCTCTCTTCTAATGCAATCTTGCAGAAGGAAACAAGCCAAAAAGCCAGCACTATGTGCCTGATCCTGCGCCCAATGAAGTCAATAGATAATCTTCTCCTGACTGTGGTAGAGCAAAATCAAACCCTATGTGACTATCCACCTCCCTCCAGACCACCGCTGGTCCACAGAGCAAAGCTTATGAACTATAGCTTTCTTGGGTTTGGGTGAATAGAGCATTTGTTGTTGTGGTTGTTTTATCTCTCTATTACTCTGAGTGTGTAGAGGGCTCTTTGTACGGGACTGTTACTGTTAGGGCTTATCCAAAGCTCACTGAAGCCAGTGGGAATCTTTCCTTCAATATAGGCCTGGTCCACACTTAAAAGTTAGGTTGATATAGTTACAGTGCTCAGAGATGTGAAAAAATCACCCCCGCAAGAACTGTAGCTATACCAGTCTAACTCCCAATGTAGACACTGCTATACTGATGAAAGAAACCCCCCTTTTGCCTTTGTAGGAAGCATCTATATTACAGATCCACTGCTAAAGTGCCCACAATGTAGACATAGCTTAGTGTGCTTAGTGCAGTTGCATCTAAGTGCATGCAATGTAGAGCTTTACTGAACCCTGAGGGACAATCTTTTCAGCCTCAGTTGGATACTTCCAAAAAAATTAGGATCAGCTTAGTACAGCAATAAACCACACCAGGGTATGCAGTAAATAGTAGGCTACTTGTGTACTAATTATAGGCATTTTGGCTTTGTGCCTAGAATCGCCAAAAACCTACTAATGCACATTCTCTATAATCACAATCGCTTCTTAAACTACATTTAAAATATTTTTAAAAAATTGAGTCAGAGTCATGGGAAGATTTCTATTTTCCATCACTAGCTAAAATAGGCCATAGCATAAAGAAAATGTTTAAAAAGTGGGGAAAGGAGTAGGAACACCATTTCTCTACCATTTTGACCAAATTCCCTACAAAAAAAACGCACCATCATTAAGAGAATTTCACAGTGGCACAATTAAGGATTTAAGAATCAAGCAGCATCAAAATTAAGGTTGCACACATAAGCTTAACTCTGCCCCCTTGTGCATATGTACTACAATACAGCCTGTAATTGCAATTACAGGCTGTATTGTAGTACATATGCACAAGGGGGCAGAGTTAAGCTTGCTACTATTAAGTACATATGCACAAGGGGGCAGAGTTAAGCTTGCTACTATTAAGTACATATGCACAAGGGG